ATTGTTTTAAAATTATTATTACTGTATTATTATTATTATTATTATTATTTTTTTTTTTTTTTTTTTTTTTTTTTTAAATTTTTTTTATTATCACACCCTTGTTATAATCACATATTTTTATGGTCCCAAGAGTGTAATTATAGCCAGGGTTGACTGCATATCTTATTTAAATTTTAAAAATAAGCAAAAACCAAAATATTTTGACAAGATATATTAATTTAAAGTGCCAAAAATCGAAACTAATCGAAACATTTCATTCCTTTTGAATTTCACTATCTTGAACTTAAAAAAAATTATTATTAGTAAAAGATTTTTTAAAACAATCAAATATTACTAATTATACTAACTTAATAAATCGGAAATATTAGATGGAAGTTCAAGAGTTGAACTTGCAAGCTGATTCGAAATAGATACTACGTGTGATATAACTAGATTAATGCTTAATTAAAAAGTAATAATTACATAGTATAAGCAATGTAAGATAACTTAGCCCTGCTTGTACCTTTAAGACACTTTGTTATTGCTTGTACATCAATTAATGTGCTATAATATTTATTTTGAATTGATAAGGATTTTAGCGTTGTTTTTTTGATTATATCATCAGCATATATGAATTTATTTCTTATATCAAGTTCCTCTTTATCTTTTAAATTTTCTGATTCCATAATCGTTTTCCATTGATTAATTTTTGAGTAAATATATTCAGCAGTAGGTCGATTTTGTGAATTTGAATTCATACATTGATTGGCTAATTCAATGTAACAGTCGGGAGTTCCTTTTGCAAATTCCGGACGTAATCCATTACAAATAGTTAATGCAAGTTCGGCATCAAGTTTAGACCCATCATAAGGTCTTTTTCCAGTTGATACTTCTGTCATAATAACACCTAAACTATAAATATCTGCTTCTTGTGTATGTTTCTGACCTGAAAGAAGTTCTGGAGCGACATATGGCATGACTCCATAAACATTTTCTTTTGAATCATACTCATCTGGTTTTCTAGATAATCCTAGATCAGTAATATATGAAATTATATTTCCATCGATATTTTGGTGTAGTAAAATATTACCACTATGAAAGTCATTATGAATAAGTTCAGTTCTATGAATTCGTGATAAATCATAAGTTATATCTGCAAGTAGTTTTAATTTTCTTTGCCATACAAGTTCTCTAAAATAATTTGTTAAAAAATCATGAAGATTTCCTCTATTGGCAAATTGATATATCATCATATATTGACCAGTCTCTGTATTTTGTGTCAACCCATATACTTCAAGTTCACTACCCTCTAATCTACATTGCATATGGTTTTTAAACTTGAGAAATATGAATAAAATTTTATAAGATTATATTTAGTAAATTTATAATTAATAAATAATTTTACTTACTTCATTTAAAAAACTGGAAGAACTTGTTTGAGAACCAGGTAATGTTTTAAGAGCAACTTCACAAGATTTTTTACGAAATCGTACATAACCCACATTATTATCACCTTCGACCATTCGTTTACCATCTAACCAAATTGATGAATATACTGTACCGAATCCTCCTTTTCCAATAACTTTAATATTTTCTAGTTTATTATATGGAACCCATTCAATCACTTTTTCAAATGCAGTAGCTTTAAGTTGAAATTCTTTAATGCAATTGTCAATATTCTTATCTCCACTTATTTTTTCTTGGGCCACATTTGGAGGATCACACAACTGACACCAGGCTGGATATGTGTTGTATCGTTTACAATATTCACAAATTCCATTAATAGACTTTCTTTTGCTGCTATAAAAATCAATTACAATAATGTATTGACCGGTTTTCGTATTTTGAGTTATTCCATGTATTCTATATTTCTCTAATTGCATATGACTTTTAAACTTATGATAAGTACGTGTTAATTAATTAAACAAGTCAATATCTTGTTATTTCATTTAATAAGCTAATAATTTGCAGTATAAATAATTTTAACTTACATTTTCTAAAAGTTCCAAAGTGCTTGTTTGAGAATAATTCAATCTTATAAGGTCAACGGATGAAATAGTGCGTGACTGTATATATTTTCCAGATTCACCTTTAATTGCTCGTACACCATTCACCCAGGTTGCCATGAATGCAAGATCTAATTCTTCATTAATTTCTTGTAAATCAATTTCTTGTAAATTAATTAGTTTATCGAATGGAATCCATTCAATCACTTTTTCATACTCCGTGGTTTTGAGTTGAAATTCTTTAATGAAATTATCAATCTCTTCATTTCCACTTGTCCATTCTTGAGTTGCTTTAAAAGGGTCACAAGACTGACACCAAGCAGGAGAAGTGTTGTAATGTTCACAGAATACACATTTTCCATTTGAATTGTTTCTTTGAGAATTAAACTCATCTGGTATTACCATGATGTATTGATTTGTTTTTGTATGTTGAGTAATTCCATATACAACATTTCCTTCTAACTGCATATAATTTGTAAGCTTATAGTATTAAAAGTATTAAATGTGTTAATAACATTGTAATAAATTGAAAATAATGAAATAATAATTTAACTTACTTCATTTATAAAAAATTCGCATGCTTGAGAACCATGTAATATTTTAAGATTAACGCCACATGATTTAATACGTGACTGTGAATATTCTACAAGATCACCTTTAAGTATTCTTATACCATCTAGCCAGGTAGCCATAAAAATCATTTCCAGCTCATTTTCTCTAACCTTTTGCAAATTAACCAGTCTATTGAATGGAATCCATTCAACCAGTTTTTCATACTCCGTGGTTTTGAGTTGAAATTCTTTAATGAAATTATCAATCTCTTCATTTCCACTTGTCCATTCTTGAGTTGCTTTAAAAGGGTCACAAGACTGACACCAAGCAGGAGAAGTGTTGTAATGTTCACAGAATACACATTTTCCATTTGAATTGTTTCTTTGAGAATTAAACTCATCTGGTATTACCATGATGTATTGATTTGTTTTTGTATGTTGAGTAATTCCATATACAACATTTCCTTCTAACTGCATATAATTTGTAAGCTTATAGTATTAAAAGTATTAAATGTGTTAATAACATTGTAATAAATTGAAAATAATGAAATAATAATTTAACTTACTTCATTTATAAAAAATTCGCATGCTTGAGAACCATGTAATATTTTAAGATTAACTCCACATGATTTAATACGTGACTGTGTATATTCTACAAGTTCACCTTTAAGTATTCTTATACCATCTAGCCAGGTAGCCATAAATATCATTTCCAATTCATTTTCTCTAACCTTTTGCAAATTAACCAGCCTATTGAATGGAATCCATTCAATCATCTTTTCATATTCGGTAACTTTGTTTTGAAATCCTTTGATATATTCATTGATATTTTGATTTTCACTTGTAGCTGCTTCCAGAGGACCACATATTTGACACCAGGTTGGAGAAATATAAAATCGCTTACATTTTGCACATTTTCCATAAAAATTAGATCTTTATAAGAAATATAAATTATTAATTCCTTTAATTATATTTTAACAATAGATCAAATATTAGTAGCATATTAACCTTTTCGTTCAATCGATCAATGATATTATAAATCAATAATAAATACTTTTGGACTTTACAACTAATATTAATGAACTTTCCTACTTACTTACTATTATTTAGTATAATTGAAAAAATAATATTAACAAATGAATACTTATTGATGCAACTATTCAACATATTAAATTTATACTCACAAACTGATAATACATGTATTTATGAATTAATTGAAAAGTATATTTAATGAATGATTCATTATTAAATAATATATTTTATAGAACCTTAATACGTAATACTTACTCTCTTTATTACGAGTAATAATGGCATGATTAGGTGTTAATGATAAAAATTAATTTATAAATAAATGTAATAGAGTTTTACACTAACCTCCTAATGAATTTATTTAATCAGAATTACACTTTTTATTATAAAAATAAAGATATATTCATGATTTATACTCACCGGATAATAATCAAGGTTGCTATTTTGTACATATAATTAAAGATTATCATGAAAATCTTAAGGCTAGACGTGACAATCAAAAGGAGTGAAACTATATTATATTCAAAAAGGAAATCGTAATCGTAATAATAGACCTATTTCAATAATATTATGAAATATGATATTATTTGAAAGAATATTTAATAAATGAAGTTAAATAAAATTTTTACAAATAAATTTGTGAATTAACATGGTGCACAACATCTTAATTCGAGCAATGTTATAACTATATTTACTCACTTGAATAATGATTTGTGGGATATTCCTAAAAAAAACATCAAAGAATGCACCCCATATAATCGCAAGTTCAAATATATTCTCAAGTATATTAAATCTATTGATTTCCTTAAATCGATATTTCTTGGTAAACATAGGTATGTCTTTCAAAATCGACAAATAATCATAATCAGTTATTACTAAAATACATAGCATAATCATCAAACCACGATATTTCTTAATCCATTTTTTAAATTTTTCACCAATAACGGGATTGTTAATTCCCTTATAAATAGTATAGGTTGCTATAAAAAAGTTTATGAATAATGGAACACTCAAGACGAGTACACTTCAAATCATGTTTTTATGAGAGTAAAAAAATTAAAGGGGATAATAATTTAACATTAAAAGTTAATTTGATTTGATAGAAATAAAGTATTCGAGAAAAAAAAAATACCTTGGCCAGTAAAGTTCCAGTACATTATTAGAATAGTAAGCAACAAAGAGAATTGAAAGAATAAAATTTGGAATGATTAATCCAAGCCTTAATATCGTAGAGCTTATTGCTTCAAATTTTTTCGATTTTAACTTTTTTAAAAAAAATTTTTTTTATTAATATCTATAATGAATGTTCTTAACATTGAAAAATATATTTACCTTATAATTTAGTATATTGGATAATAGACAAAATATTATAAAAATCAAAACTCCAACGATTATTTGCATTTTGTATTCATTCCACGCATTCCCTACATTAATATTAGGCATAAAAATTCAATTCTGAAGTATTTTTGAACGAGATAATTAACTCACAAATTGGTTTAAAACCGTAATCTTGGTCCAAATCATTTGTTACACCTAAAGAGAAGGTGGTGATATTCTTGTAAATTATCATAGTGTTTAAGTCTGAAAATATATCCAATGCAGTTCTTTCAGTTTCATTATTTGCAGTATTTATACGAATTAAAATAACGATTTGATCATTAAAAACTTTATAGAATCTATTATTTGAACTTAAACGAGAACGATTTATTGGCACTTTAACAGCAAGTTCATTCAATAAATTATCAAAGTATGCTGATTGATTGTATGCTGATTGATTTAAGAATTTTTTGGAGGCATCTATAGTAAGGTGTACTGAGCCCATAATTGCTTCGTCTAAAAAGAAATATAATGAGAATCATGTGAAATATATAGTTATAAGCATAATGCGCACTACCTGGGTATATCTTCTGATTATCTAAGTCATGTAAAAAGATAAAGCGAATAATAAAATTCCAAAACAAATTCAAAATATACACTAAAAATATTACCTGATTTAAGAATCCAAATACCATCATGAATTCCTTTTAGAGGGTTATTAGTGATTACATCCTTGACAAAATTATTATCCATCGCAACAAAATATTGTTCGCCATACTCGTTGAATGTGCTTTTAATGACTGTTATACTAACAATATTAGAACTGATATTACAGAACTCATGCATTGTTGCAGAAATTCTTTGTCTAATGTTGTTATCAGAGGCTTTGTAGATAGTGATGTTGCCGGTTGACAAAGTAACTGAAGCACCGAAAGTATTGATGGTGATGTTTAGGGTAGTCGTTGACGAATTGACAACAGCATTGATTGGTGGAGTTGTTTTGTTGCTGCTGTTTTTGTTGCTACTGTTTTTGCTATTGCTGTTGTTGCTGCTACTGTTTTTGTTGCTACTATTTTTGTTACTGCTTCAGCTGTTAATAGTTCGCTTAAGGTTGCTTCATGTTCAGAGAGCAAATCATCTGAAGAGGTTTTTCCTCACTTTCTTCAGCCTCTTCTATTTTTTTCTTTTGTCTCTCTTCTATTTTTTTGTTTTGTCGTTTCTACAGTACTACTCTATCATTATCATTATCATTATCATCTGCATGGCTACCTTTTCTTTTCATTCCTGCACCACTTTATCCTTTTCTAATATCTCCTGCTCTAGCTTTTCCTTTTCTAATATCTCCTGCTCCAGCTTTTTCTTGCTCAATATCTCCCACCCTACCTTTTTCCTTCCCAATATCTCCTGCTCTATCTATATCTTTTTTTTTTTTCTCACTACTTTTTTTTTCATTTTTTTGCTCTTTTCGCTCACTTTTTTTCTTTTTTCTTGAGTCTTCATCACTGGTTGAATAATCAGCATCAAAATCTTTTACAGTTAAATTATACTTTTTTAGGGCTTCATCAGATAATATCCAATTCGAGCAATCATCTAGAGGTTTACCAGTATCATTGACATTATCCTCATAGCAACGTTCAATCATTTGCTTATTTTTAGACTGAAATAGTTTCATATAAGGATCAATCCTTTTGTGAAATAGCTGTTTAATCTAATAATATTAGGCTAATATTAGGCTGATATTAGTAAAATAATTATATATTTTAAATTTTAATAATGATTATTCTCATAGACATGATATCACAAAATAAGCTGAGATTATAGATAATCTTAGCTTATTTTGTGATATCATGTCTATGAGAATAATATACTGATACCTACATTCAGACTATGCCACCACTTATCTATACATATTAATTTTTTATTACCATCATCATCGATCATCTACTCCTCAGCAGAGTAATAGGCATTTCTATCTTTACTTCGTGTTAACATCTCTAAATCGTCTTAGAAATATCTTTTAATTCTTTCATTACTGGCCTTCATTAAATACACCAACGCCTTACATTTTATCATCCTTTTCTATTTTTTTTTATGTACAATAATAAATTATATTTTACATATTAGCAGATTTTTGTAATTTGATAATTATCAAATTACAAAAATCTACTGATATTCTTATATTTATATTATTCTTACCTCATTCACTTTGCTATTTCTTACTATTTGTTTTCGATTGTATTCTTGCAAATCATGATCAGCATTTATTTGAGCAGTACGTCTTTGTATCTTATGATGCTATTTCAATATTTTTTTGATGTTTACAGCATGATTTTTAAAACCGAGCAATTTTTCTATTAATGCCAGAATTAGGTTTTTTCTTATATCTTTTTGTTGAGATGTCCATGTTTTTTGAGAGTCTGGTTTAAGATTAGACAAGCTACCACCCTCAGTCAATATCTTTATTTCATCCTGTGAAGAAAAAAAAATAATCTGAAATAAAAAACAGAAAAACAAAAACAGAAAACAGATCATACTATACTTATCAAAAGATGAGCTAATTGTTCCTTATCTAGTGATTTCAGAGGGCTATCACTTTCTGAGCTCTCATTTTCACTTTCACTTTTACTGCTACTACTACTACTTTCATCATCATCATTATTTTTTATTTACTTTTTTTCACTACCTCCTTTCCTTTTCCTTTACTGTAAAGAGCATTTATAGCACCTTCAATCGTAGCTGTAACAGCCTTGCTATCTACAAAAAATTATATTATGTTAATTAATAAATTAAAATGTTAACTTATTATAAATCTTACATTTTTTTTTACTACGCCTATGTGATTAGGCTCTTTTCTTAGCTATTTTGCTGCTTTTGGCTTTAGGTAAGTGTTTTCTTTGCTCATTTTAAAAAAGATTATATTAATATTAGATAATTAAGTAAATGCTATAAGTAATTGAAAATTGACTTGAAAAAATTTGTAGGGAAGATACCATCCTTATATAAGTTTTTTATTTCATATGTTAATTATCTTCTTATTTTGCTATATTTCTTAAAAAGTTCTTCAGTACTCGAAAAAATTATAAATATTATATTAATATCACTTTAAAATTATTAAATATTTTACCTTTCTCTAGACTGATATTATATTGAATAAATAAATCATGTTATTTCAGGAATTCATTATTGAAAAAGTTCTTCTGTACTCAAAAAGAATTGAATATTATATTAATATCGCTATAAAATCTTAAATATATTTTTAAATATTTAAATAATTTATCTTTTGATTATAGATATTATATCAAACCAATTTATCATATGCTATTGTAGTTCAAAGTTCTTCTGTACTTATTATTTTTCTCAAAGAAGATAGACTTAAGGTCAAATTAATCACTTTATTTCAGGGATTCATTATTATTCTTGAAAAAGTTTTGTACTCTAAAAAAAATTGAATATTATATTAATCACTATAAATAATTTACTGTTACCTTTTCTTGGATGATAGGCTAAAGATCTATTAATCATATTATTTCAGAGATTTTATTGTTTACTAATAAAAATATTAAACATTATATTAATATCGTTATAATACAATCATTAATTATAGAAAAATATTGTCTAATACCTTGCATATCAGTAATTGTTGCTTCCATTTATTATATTATTTATTACGCGATATAATAAATAATATAATAAATGGGAGCAATAATTACCGATATGTAGGGTATTAGACAATTACTAATATTTGACAATAACTGATATGTATTAAGGTATTTGACAATACTGAATTAGGACAATATACATAAGATCAGTATTTTGATATTCGACATATTTAGATTTCATTGTTTTCTTCTATACTTAAATTAATTTTTGAATATTACACAAATTAAATGCATATTAACATTAATTATAGAAATATTAAATAATTACCTTTTGATAAGGTGAAGAATTTTTTCATCATATAATAAAGAAGCCTTTTCTTTAAAATATTCTGTATATATTACATTATAATAAATAAAATTTAATAATTTTCATTAAGAAGATACATTAATTAACAGCAATAATAAAGTTTAAAGAAGTCAGCTTATTTGTTCCTTTGTCTATTGCTCTCAAGTTCACTTTAAAATTCTAGCTTTGTGTTTATCTTGACAAAAAGTTATTTGATTTTATGCTATGTCTTGGAAGATATTTTAGTGAATAATATAGATAGAATCTTTAAAGAATTCTGCATATAACTTCAAAAAACTTTTGTACTCATAATATTACTATATTAGAAAAATATTTATATTTTCTAAAAGATATTTGTATGTTTTTTGTATTTTATGTTTGCAAGAAGAAAGAAATTTATGCGATTTGGAAAGAAGTGATTTAACATGTTCTGATGAGAAGTTGTTTTTTGTCATTATTTACATATCTTTTAAATATTATTAGGAATTTGAACTCTGATCATTGAATTAATCAGTAATCAAAACTACAGTATAATCTAGAGTCTTGTTAAATATTATTTTAACTTTAATTTAACTCCAATTATTAAATAATCAGTGATCAATTCTATAGTATAGCCTAAAGCTTTATTTTGTCTAAGATATTTGTGAAAAATATATTTAAAACAACTATTCGCACTATATATTTTCTTACTAAAATCTTTAAAAAATATTAATAAAGAAATAATAATACAATCAAAATATCATCATCTAAACAAGTATTATGTTATTGCGATAAATGTAAAGAGAAAAAATATATTAATCCTTGAACAAAACAAGATCATATAGCTTTACTTGATATTGTACATCAAGTACAAACATCAAAATATCGGCTTCAAAATATGAAGAACCTCTTTCTGAATTTCTGAGCGAAAGTTTTAAAGATAGTGATTCTGAAGACAATAGTTCTGAAGACAATGATTCTGAAAACAATGATTCCGAAAACAATGATTTTAAAGACAATAATTCCGAAAACAATGATTCCGAAAACAATGATTCCAAAAATAGTGATTCCAAAAACAGTGATTCCAAAAACAGTGATTCCAAAGAGAATAATTCTGAAGAAAATAATTTTGAAAGCAATCAAAGTAAAGGATTAGAAAGTGAAGATAAAGTACAACTAGTGATGCAAATGAAGATAATTTGGTATCTAGTACTAATATAATAGATTTATTTCCTGAAGATGACTTTGATATACAAACACCTACCTCAAGAAGATTAGCAAAAAGAAAATTTAAAGCACCTATAGATGATGATGAAGAGATGATTATTGAACCAACTACAGAAAAAAGGATACATTTGACGTTTATAACTTATCTGATGAAGACGATATAATGATAATTAAAGAAGATAATTATTCTTCTCCAAGTAGTTCTTTAAATAGTTCTTCAAATAATTCTTCAAATGAATCTTCAAGTGATTCGCAAGAAAGTTGTGATCCTGTAAACTTTATTCCACCAGAAATTAATCCTGAAATTTTTGAACAACCATTTGACATTGATAACAATCGTCCAAATGATTAGATTACTTTATGGATAATGAAATATCAACAACGTTACAATATTCTTGATACTGGTACAGAATCATTAATTAAATTTCTTCAGCATTTACTTTTGTATTTTAAAATCGATGAAGCCGATAGGCTACTGACTTCTATATATATTGCGAAATCGTCTTTAGGGATTTTAACCAAATATAGAAAGTATGCTATATGTCCAAAGTGTCATAAGCTCTATGACTCATCAGTAATTAAAGACCATGTTCAAGACAATAAGCCAGAAAGTATGAAGTGTACAAATATAGAATATCTCTATCATCAAAATAAATCACAACAATTAGCATGCAATGAACCATTAGCAGTAAAGC